GTTGGAATTATTGAAGCTGCACGTAGTGCATGATCATCTTAATCGTTTTCTGTTCATTTTCTATGTTATTTTCCTTCTATTTCTGTGTATTTTCTTTTTAGGCTTAACTCGCATTTCACTTACGGAAGCGGGTTTTAGGTTTACTCTGTTTTCTTTGGCACGTGTCATATATTGTTTGGTGACATGTGATAGCTAGTTATTGGTCATTATGGGATAGGGGTATAAACACGTGAATTGTGCCCTTGTCTTCTTCAATTGAACTTTTACAGAAGCTTTGAGCTAAGATAAAAATGGTTTCTGCATAATTGTGTTGTTTCCTTTGATTTCCCCAAAACAATTGTTGTGTTGCTTGTTCCTACATGGTATCTAGAGCGGGCTAAACAATGGCGCAGAACGAGCAAAATCGCGAGATCGTACGAGGCATCTATACACGAGACATAGATCCACTGTCTCTTCATGGATCTGACAACCCTGGCATGGTTCTCGTTTCAAATCAGCTCAATGGATCGAATTATCTGCATTGGAGCCGCGCAATGAAGCTTGCTCTCAGTGCGAAGTCAAAACTTGGATTTGTCGACGGCTCCATGGAAATTCCAGAACAAGGATCTGAAGAATACAACCAATACTTGAAGGTAGATTCTATGGTTATCTCTTGGTTATTGAATTCTATCTCAAAGGATATCGTAGAAGCCTTTTCCTATGTAAAAAGTGCCCAGCAACTATGGGATGAGCTAGCCGAACGTTATGGTGAGAGCAATGGACCATTGAAGTATCAATTACAGAAGGAGATTGCTAATTTTTCACAGGGTAACCTCTCAGTCACTGCTTATTACACCAAACTGAAGTGTATGTGGGATGAATATTCCTGTTTGATTTCTATCCCTGACTGTGTATGTGGATCTGGAAAGAAGTTTTGTGAAATTGACACGGAAATCAAGCTAATGCAGTTTCTCATGGGTCTAAATGAGATTTTTGAACCAGTGAAGAATCAGATTTTGTTATTAGAGCCACTGCCTAGCATAAATAGGGCTTACTCAATGATTTTGAAAGTTGAAAGGCAGAAGAATGTAGGCATAATAATGTCTACTCAGACTGAAAATTCAGCTATGATGGTTAAAGGGAACTTTGGGAGAGGAGGTGGTGGTAGAGCTCAAACATTTGGCAGAGGTAATGGAGGTAGAGGATTTGGTACACAGCATTTCAATAGTGGAAGGGGAAGAGGAGGACCAAGACTGTCAAAGGAAGAAAGGGCAAAGTTATATTGCACACATTGTGGTTATAATGGGCATGAAATGCAAAGTTGTTTCAAGCTTAATGGTTATCCAGATTGGTTCAAAGAACTGAGGGAGCAAAGACAAAATCAAAATGTAAACATGGCTTATAATGATGATTCCTCAAAGGGTGACTCAGAAAGCAAATCTCAGCTAAGTGACACCCTACCAGATATAAGTGTTTTGATCCAGAAAGAAATTGCTAAGTATATGGCAGGACAAAGAGATGCAGAAACTAACACATACTCACATTTTGTGGAATACTCAAGTGACAGAGAAGATTATGCATTCTCTCTGGTGGGAAAGCTAAACAAAAGCAGCTGGATTGTGGACACAGGAGCCAGCAAACACATCTGCAGTGAGGCTGGTTTGATGTCAAAAAGATCTCATACTCAAAATCCAGTTATTGTGAATTTGCCAGATGGAACTAAGGTGAAAGTTACACAGATTGGTGAAGTACAGTTTGATGAACAAATTACTCTTAAAGATGTCTTGCTGATTCCAGACTTTAAATACAACCTCTTGTCTGTGGGACAACTGGTAGAGGATAATGGAATGAGTTTTGTTTTTACTGACAAAGATTGCAAACTGAAGGACATGAAAACCAACTCAACTGTGGCTTCTGGAAGGGCAGTAGCAGGTTTGTATGTCATTGATGCACCCCAAATTTTTGCAAATGCTGTGGGTAAAGAAATCACTCTAAATGAGGATATAATGTTGTGGCATAAGAGATTGGGACACAGCTCTGCCCACTGTCTGAAGCACCTACATTTCTTAAGGAGCAACCACACACCTCAAGAAATAAATCCTTGTGACATATGCCACAGATCAAAACAAAGCAGACTGCCTTTCCCTTTAAGTCAGATACAAAGCAAGCAGAAATTTGAATTAATTCATGTGGATGTATGGGGCCCACACCTTGAAGAGTCTGTGCTAAATGTCTCCTACATGCTGACTGTTGTTGATGATCTTACAAGAGCTACTTGGATCTACTTAATGAAGTACAAAAATGAGACCTACATTCACATGAAGGCCTTTTTCAAAATGATAGAGACACAATTTGGCATCAAAGTGAAACAGATAAGAAGTGACAATGGCAGTGAGTTTGTTAACAAAGACATGGCAAATTTGTTGAAAGAGAATGGGATACTACATCAGAGAACCTGCCCATACACTCCACAACAAAATGGAGTTGTGGAGAGAAAGCACAGGTCCATTCTTGAGGTGGCTAGATCAATCTCTTTTCAGTCAAACCTGAAGAAGGAACTTTGGCCATATAGCCTACTTGCTGCTGTGCAAATCATTAATACTTTGCCCAGTGGAAAGTTAGACTGGAAAAGCCCTTATGAATTGTTGCATGGAAGCCTGCCAGCATACAGCATGTTCAAAATATTTGGATGTCTATGTTATGCAAGCAAACTTGGGACACATAAGAAGAAGTTTGATGAGAGAGCTACTGCTTGTGTTTTCTTGGGATACATTTCAGGCATTAAGGGGTACAGACTTTATAACTTGGAAACAAAGGAGATATTCACAAGTAGAGATGTCATTTTCTATGAACAGAAATTCCCATTCCATGACAAGACCTCAGTTAGCCCATTACCACTCACAAATGATACTCAACCAGTGATTCCCATGCCACTAACAGATGATACTGAAGAGATAGAAGAGATAAGAGCAGAAAACAGTCAGCAAGAGCCCAATGTGGATAGAACAATTGAGGAACACCTGGGAAGAGGCCATAGAAACAAGAAACCACCTGCATGGATGTCTGATTATGTGGTTGATGTTTCAGGAGGTGAAGAACTGAATTTATTTTTCTCTGAGGTTTGCAAAACAGCAACAGAACCTCTATTCTATGAACAAGCCATTACTGACCAAAGGTGGATAGATGCAATGAATAAGGAACTTGAGGCTTTGGAGACTAATAACACATGGATACTTACCAAGCTACCATCAGGGAAGAGAGCCATTGGCTCTAAATGGGTTTACAAGATTAAAAGAAACCCAAATGGCTCAGTTGACAAGTTCAAAGCTAGACTTGTGGCAAAGGGATTTCTGCAAAGGGAGGGGGTGGATTTCATGGACAGCTTCTCACCTGTGGCTAAACTTGTATCAGTCAGACTAATCATTGCT